TTTGTTGATCGATTGCATTTCTTCTTCTGTGAAGGGTCTGTTCCATTCATTTGTGTGGGAGGGGAAAGGAGGAGCCAGTGCAGGCAGGAAGTCATGACTGGCATGTGGGTTTCTCTGGGAGGGAAACTGAGGTTGGTGTTGGTGAGGCGGGGAATTCAGAGGGCACAGTGAGATCATGTGGGGTGGGCAGCTCACGTCGGAGTTCTGGGGAAAGGTGGGTGGAGAGGGAGAAATTCGGGAGTTGTGGTGGTGTGCAGGGGAGCAACGTGTAGCATGTTAGCAAGAACACAAGCGTGCTGGTAGCCTAAGCAGCAATGATCCAAGAAGAGAAATTGAAAGGTGGGTTTAGTGATAAGGAAATCCATCCTAGATGATCCTAGGGTGGCTGGGACGCCCTGCATGGCTGAATTCTAATCAGCATAGACCTTACTCACACTGGCTTTTCCCCATGTTTTCCTGTGACCTGGGAGCACACACTTTTCTGGTTCTGGTCACTTCCCACCTATTTTATCTCCTACTATTTTCCTACAGTGTTGCTCTCTCTCAGCTCCCCCAGATCTCAGCATCCCCCAGGCAGCTCCCAATGGTCCCCGTCCTTTCCTCTCTCCTCCTCAGACCTTGTCTTTCACCCTCCACAGCCGAAAGCTCACTCAGGGGTGCAGTGGACTGGGGAGCTGCAGATCCTCAGTGGGACTCTGACCCAAGCTCCAGCTGCTACCTGTGTTCCTGACCAGAGCTGGCCCACCAGAGGAAGATTAGAGAAAGGAACATGGAGCTCTGATTTATTTCTTTTTATAATTTACTCCCTTCATTCTTCTATTGTTATGGTTTATTTGTTAGGAGTCCTCCAAATGCTCATGTGTGAGACAATGAAAGAAGGTTTTGAGGTGAAATGATTGAGAGCCTTAGCCCAATCAGGAAATGAATCCCCCTGATAGGGATTAACTGAGTGATGAGTGCAGGCTGATAACATGTGGCTGGGGAAGTGGGATCCTGGGGCTGTTCCTTTGGGGTATATATTTTGTCCTTGATGCGTCCAGCTCTCTCTCTTCTCCTTGGCATCCATGTCCAGACTTGCTTTCCTCTGCCGTAATGTTCTGCGTCACCTTGGGCCCTGAGATCTGAAGTTGGCCATCTATGGGCTGAGAGCTCTGAAACCCTGAGCACCCCGATAATCTTTTCCTCCTTCTAATTGTTCTTGTCATATTATCTGGTCATAGAGGCAAAGAAAAGGTGACTGAAATAGCCTTCCTCCTTCTTCAGCATCTGTTATGCCCTAGTCTCCCATCAGCTTACAGTATTCTGAACCCAGAGCCTTGTTCCTTATTTAGTTAATTTTTATACTTCTCTTTCCTACCCCAAACCAACTGCCCTCTCCTTGCTTTCCCCACTCATACTCAAGAGCAGCAGTCATATATTTTGTGGGAAAATATATGGGAAAAATGAAAATGTGGATCCTTATTTTATCCCGTGGAGGTTGTTATCATAGAATACCATAGACAGGGTGGTTTATTGATACCAGAAATTCATTTCTGATACTTCTGGAAGCTGGACCGTCCAAAATCAAGGTAGATTTGTTTTCTGTTAGCACCTGAGTTTTTATTAATCAAATACACCTTCAGAGTATGTCTTCACATTGTAGAAGGGTTATGGAGTCTCTCTGGGGTCCCTTTAATAAGGCACTAATCTTATCTCAGAGGATTAAAACTGCATCGATCAATCACCTCCAAAAGCCCCCACTTCCTAACACCATCACATGGGTGATTAAAAGTCCAATATATGAATTTGGGGAAATCTTAAAAATTCAGGCTCTAGGAAGTATGTGTTCAAAGGCTGGAGGGGTGGTACTTTTAAAGGTATTAAAATATAAAACTTCTTCATTTCTGTGGAAGTTTTTATTTAGTTTCCTAATGTTGCATCCCTTGGGCACAGGGATACTCACAGGATCATTGCAGGAACTCTTAGGCACCTGGGGGCCCCACTCCATGACTACATGCAAGCTACCCACTGGCTGCCTGGTTGCTGCTGCCCCAGGTGTTCAAACGATCTTTGTCTTTACTGGACTGAAGGGGGAAGTTACTCTTCCTTCCCAAAGTGATCAGCCCAACACTTGGTACATGGGTGGCCACTGAAAATTTGCAAATACATGGAGATGCATGTGATACGCAGAGCAAGGGTGGAAAAGAGGCTCACCCTGGGTAGTTACCAAACAAGATGGTACAGACTGGGTGGGATGTCTGCAGCTATGTTCTCTCCAGACACTGTTGGGTTCATGGCTAGTTCTCCTTTTGTGCCTACCAACATGAGACAGTGGCAGAGGCTGATGGTGAAGGGGTCTTCCCTGCAATGAGACCTGGTCACTGCAGTGGTGGCAGGATGGAGGTGGAGAGGTGGAGTGTAGAGTTGCCAAGGCCCCAGAGAGTGGGGAGCATGTGGCACAGTGCTGATCATGCAGGTGAGGTTGTGGGGGAAGAACCCCACACAAGCTGAGGAGGCTCCCATGAGCTCTCTCACAAGTTCCATTGAACATCACTTATGAAACACAGATTCAATAAAATCCAAGGTGGTGATCTTGGAGCATTAAATGCATTACTCTACTGGTTGTGTGACCTGCGGAGTCAGCTCTGGATACAGGATCCACACATTAATTTTGCCTCATTCAGATTTTCAGTCAGGGACCCTGGTGGTTCTTGCCGCAGTCTGGCTGGGCACAAATAACCGGGAGCTCACGAGCCACTTGTAGGTTCAAACAGGAACTACTTTATTGCCCGAATCCAACGGGAACTCTCCAGAACTCCACGCAAACTCAACGGGAACTCAACTCAACGGGAACTCCGAGAGAATTCAAAAGTAGCGGGCACCTGAGGTAGCAGGAGCTGCCTTATTGCTGGACAGTAGAGGTTTATATGCACAACTGAATACACAGCTTGTTTGAATTTAGCATCATCCAGTTACAGCAATCAGTCATTACCTTAATAATTATACACAGCTTAACTCAATTATCATCATCTTAATGGCTCTCATCCACTCCTTCTGGCAAAATGCCAGGCGCCATCTTGACCTGGTTGTGGCTCTCAACAGGTTCTCTCACCAGATACAGGTCCAAGGAGGTCCTCAAGTTAAGAAAAAGGATCTGGAAAAATGGAGAACTGCCGTCACCTTAGCTGACATCTGCTGGCCTCCAGGGTCCCATGATCTATCCACAGCCTCCATGAGAGCACAGAGGGCTTGAGTAAGAACATGCAGCATGGGGCCAGCTCGGTTCTCTCCAGGTATGTGCAGGGGAAACTATCACCTCCCCCCACACACACACATACATCTGGTCAGTTGCCCCAGTTCTAACCAACTTTACTGTCACCTCCTGGGAAGAGAGCAGCGAGCAAGGGAACTAGCAGGAACAGCATGGCCCTTGCAGATGCTACTTCTTTCTCTCAGAGAAGCCGTCCTTTGATTTCTGTTCTAAACAATCCTCCCCCAGACCTCTCTTCTGACTTCCTTTTTTACCATCAGACAAACCTATCTTCCCTGCAATGAAGAAAACCTTCTCCTTCCCTAACACAGACCACCTACTCACTTTCCCTTTACCCTGCTCAGTCTTTCTGTTCAGTCTTCCAACTTCTCTCACTGTCATGAATTTCCAACCTGTTCATCCTCCCCTATTTCAACTGCTATGGGACAAGTCTTGTGTGGTAATGAACACTAGGGACATATTTTTCAGTGCTGTGGATTGAACCCAGGGTCTTAAGCATTTTCTGTATTTTGTCCTCCTGATGTTTTGAATTATCCCCCGATGTGTCCTCTTCTGTACCCCATCCCCCACATCTCTGACATCACTGGTTACTTTATCTACTTTTTCAGGATCCCCTATGATCATCCTTTACAACAGTATCAACTATCACCAACTCTCCATTGTTCTTAGGGAAAAGGCAGCAGCCATCACGGAAACCACAGGAACATTGAAAAGATAAACAGAAAAACTTCCTCTGTTTGACTTTCATTGATACATTTTTACTCACCCGTCATTTAGCCCCTGCCAAGAACCAAGTATCTTGCTACACTAATGAGTACACAGTGGTTGTCAATGCAATTGCTTTATTAGAGGATCTTTCAGTTTATGTAGGGAGAATTATACAGTTTGGTGTGCTGAGTTTAAAGGGTAGAGTCTAGTTTTAAAAATCCTGATTGAACTAATATTTTCTAATGTGGCTACCTTTCATAGGTGTTTGTCTATATTTTTACCTCAGTGATCAACTTGGGGTATTAGTCTTAATCTTTTATTATTCTGTATCTCCTCCTAACAGAGGGCCTGGCACTAAGTAGGTTTTTAGTAAATATTTGTTCAAGGTATAAATTAATATAGTGTAATGTATAAAGGATATTTATAACTCTCCAAGATGAAATGAGAATCCTACACAGTTTGACTTAGGATAAAAGCATGTGGTACTAAGTGTGGGTTTACATATAGCATTCTTCTAAAGTTACTATTGCTTATGTTAATAAAAAAAATGGTCAGAACTTGTGAAAATGAATAAAGTATTCTGAAATCTGTTATCCAGGATTCCTTTCTCATTGGTCCTACTTGGATGCTCCATGGTTATCTTTTGTTAAATCACTCACTCATAGACAAGATAATTTCATGAGCTTCTAGAACAAAACAGGGTGACCATCCCAAAAGGGTGGAAGAAAGGTCCAGAAAGTCTGCAAATGACTCAGTCTGACACAAGGCAACACAGAGAGGGTACATAGGCTGCTCAATGACACCTGCCCACGTTTCACCTTGGGTCTTCTTGATGCTGTGAAGGCTCATCTCCAGAGACAAGGCCAGTCTTGTAGCCCAACTCTAAGAATTTTTCTATTTTAAAGTCAAATTCAGGATAAAAAAGGATACCAAGTGACATTTACAAAAGGGGGAACAATATACCTATGTGATCTCATATGGAGTTCTGAACCTCCTCAGTCAATGTCAGTCTGTGTCTGAATGTTTCTTCTGTCCTTTGCAGTGAAGCCTGAGGCCTGGCTGTCCAGTGGCCCCAGCCCTGGACCTGGCCGTCTGCTGCTGGTGTGCCACGTGTCTGGCTTCTACCCAAAGCCCGTGTGGGTAATGTGGATGCGAGGTGAGCAGGAGCAGCTGGGCACTCTGAGAGGTGACATCCTGCCCAATGGTGATGGGACGTGGCATCTCAGAGCAACCCTGGATGTGGCAGCTGGGGAGGCGGCTGGCCTGGCCTGCAGGGTGAAGCACAGCAGCCTAGGAGGGCAGGACCTGGTCCTCTACTGGGGAGGTAAGAGTGGGACCCAGGCTGGAGATGGAGTGGTTCTCTAGCAGGGCATGAGAACCAGCTAAAGAATTGGGAGTTTAAGGATTGCAGACCAAAAAAGAAGACAAATATTTTAATCCAAGGAATAGAAGAATTAAAAATGAGGGCTCAAAAAAAATGAGGGCTCTGTAGAAGCAAAAAGATGTAGGATAGATGAAGGATTCGTCTGTGTAAAGGAATGAGGTAAAAATAGAAAGAAAGATTGGTGAGGTAGAAAATCAGAAAACTAGCATCGGTTAATACAGCCAACAGGGAGTGCATGGGGTAAAACTGGGAATGGATTTGAATCATGAATCTGCAGCACCTCATAGTGCCCTGGGCTGGATCCTCTTGGCTGTGATAGTGGCCCTGGCTCTTCTGACAGGTCTTGGATTTGGGTTTATGAAGCGCAGGTGAGTTCTTTGTATCCATCTATTCTGTTTGTCCCTCCTCCCCAAGGTTCTTCCCTTTATTTTTGTGTTTTTCCTAACTTTTCCTTCTCCTTCCAAACTCATTCCCATTTTCTGCTCAGTTCTCACCTCTACCTTATGAAGGTCTGTTATTTCTCTGTTCTCATTTGGGTTCACTTAGGACACACTGTGAAGCTCCTTGCAGTGCTGTCCCTTTGAAGTGAGGACCCAGCTACCCAGGTGCCCAATATACACCTGGACACCACGTGGTGATGACATCACTTCCTTGTTAAAGCTTGGTGATTCATTTCCATTCCATGGTCACTAATACATGCTCTATGTGATCTTGCAGGATTTGTGACCTTGTTAGGAATAGGATCCTAACAAGCTCTGCCTGGTTAGATAAAAATGTATTATCAGATGTGTTTCAGATGTCACATCCTACAGAGGTTTTTTTCTTGATTCACAGTGGGACACAATCTCTCCTCAGGTGTGCAACTCCCTACATTTCAACTGTACCCTTTACTGTCTGCCCTCTGTGGAAGTTTTGTAAATTCATTTTTTCTTTTAAGGTTTTAGAAATTTGAGAGCAAAGCACATGCTTTTTAAATATCTGTATCCCTGGTGAAGTGTCTGGCCTGCATGTGACATGTCCTCAGTGAAAACCTGTGTTGGATTTAGGTAAGGCTTGGAGGTCCCCCCCCCCACCTTGTATTCTCTGTCTTCTTGACACCCGTGTTGTAATTGAGACATTTGATGCTCCACTTGTTAAAAGTCTTGCTTGGCCAAGAGACTTCATGCTTTCCTAGTTTTACAGTGCTTTCTCTGAGCTTCTGAGAAGAAACACAGTTTTGCTCCTTACTCACTCCGTTATTCAATTATATGGAACTATGAGAATAAAACTTTTGTTCCAAGTGCTCTTAATTAAAAGATCAGGGAAGGATGACGGTCTTTCTTCCATATTCAGCAGATTCATTACATTGGAGTTTGGTAGAAATGTAGACTCTGTGGCCTGGGTCTCAGACTTACTGAATTATAATTTTTGTTTTAACAAAATCATCAGAAAGAGTCACAGATGCATTTTAAGGTTGAGGGGCACCTCATGGTGGTGATACTTGAAATATGGCCCAGGTGCATCACTGAGGAGGGGATCAAAAATGAGGAGTCAAAGTGCTGCTCTTGAGGACTGAAGTTGGTCCAGGTGAGTAAAGTGCATTCTAGGGAGTTATACTCTCTACAGTTGCTGCTGCAAACACTGCATTAGTGAACACTGAGCCATGCTCCTAGGGTAAATAGAGGGATAGGTTGCTTTGAGTGTCTGTTCACAATATTTTTGTTAACTGATGAATACATAACCTTGGTTTTGTGTATTTTGTTTAAAAATCTTATTTAATATATACTTACAAGTAAATCACTGTATGCAGGTATATCAACGTATGCAGTATTTCTTTAAACAAAAATATTATCAGAGAAGTGTTTAACAATTTCCTGATCCTGATTAATGTGATCACAAATTTCCTTGGCATTTAATCTTCCTACGATGCTGTTTACCACATGTAATATAATTAGTTCTCATCTCAGTAAACCACTCATTTACGTTTTTTTCCTGTAACTTTATCATAGCATAAATTTTCCATAACAAGTGGCTTCACATACTAATCATCAAACTTCATCTTTCTTTTTCCAGTGTTCATTTATTAACATTGAACTTTTAGGCAATAGCATTTTAACTGTAACAAAACTTATCTAAAACATATACTAGCTCTGTATTACACATTACAACTTTTTTTTTCATTTTAAGAACATTAGGTAGCATTTTAGAGATGGTTGAGGTCATTTTAATTGGCAAAAATAGTAACAAAAAGTACAAAGTGTGAAACATGTGGCACTGGACAGACCACACAAAGGATGCTCATCCTGTAGTGAGAAGTGAAACCTGAAGACAGAGCTTTGCTTTTTTTTATATTTCATAGGAAATGTGTTTTTCATTTGACTTACATTTTGCACCACTCTGTTCATATCTAGGAATGACTGCAAAGCACTCTGAATACTTCATTTGGGTATAAATTTCCACAGTTAGACAAATCAGAAAATACAGAAATCCTGATGAATGGGTATTGACTAATGACCACAACTGGCAGTGTGGGTTAAGACATCCATGACCAGACTCTGTTACTTTAAAATTCCTAAATTGATTCAACTAACAGTTCTTAGGCACCTACTATACACTTACCATGCGGCAGGTACATATTGAGTGTAAAGGAAGGAAGGAAAAAAGATCATCACTGTGTTCTGAGCTTGAAAATTTTGCCTGCCCAATTTGATTCTGCAGTTTATTATTTTAATTGTTTCTTTCTTAGATTCATGGAAGAATTTACTTGAGGTGAACCTGTGGAAAGGGAATCAGCCTTATTTTGCTTAAAGAGTGAGGAGAGGGAACCCAGGATAAGGTAAACATCTAGAGAGACCAGGTGCAGGTGACAGCACACGTTGAAAATTTTCCCATGGATTTCCTCCTGAAAAATGCATTCCTGCATTCACTTGTCCTGCCTTCATTCATCACAAATCTGGCTGTGACTATTCGTGTGATCAACATATTCACTGAGAGTAGCTCCAAAATACAGGGAAATAATTAGAAAAGAAGAGCAGAGGAAAAGGTAAAAACAAGAGATGGAAGAGAGTAAATGGAGTGACAGCTGAAGTGTGTTTACTTGGATGACACATGACTGGTTACCAGTCATATAGCTTCCAGTTCACTTTTCCACATTTGCTTGTGAAAGATGTGGTTTTAGTTGATTGATTTTACTCTCAGCTGTGATGCTCAGCCCAAGGCAATCATGATATCCCTCCTTTGACAATGTGATGGGCTAAAGAATAAACAGCCTCTAACTCAAGATAGACATCCCAGAGATCCATTTACATTTGCTTGAAGAGTTGAGTCAGGGTATGCACCTGTCCTAAGGTGGCTGGTTCAGTTTATGTGCAGCCTGATTTTCATGTTTGATGGTGGGGGAAAGAGATGGTCTGTCTTGTTCTGGATGTTATCCTGGTGGGTATACATCACTCGTTACTTCTTCAGCACCAGAGAAACAATTCAACAGATGAAATCAAATGGACAAGAAATTAGAGGTAACAAACTCACTGAAGAGTCCAGATTAAACCACATTCAAAGCCTGAATGATTCCTGGACTTCTCAGTCCTGTTGGTCAATACACTTTCTTGCATTTTTGCAGATCATCAAATTGGGTGTCCTCTTGTTGGAGACTGAAAACATCCTGCTTGCTACACACAATTGTTTGGGGACTCAGCTGATCTCTACTTTTGGTTACAACATTATTTTATTTCCTTCTTCCTCTTCCTTTCTTCCAGAAATTATCTATTCTTTAAAACTTATCCCTTTTATTTTATTTTTCATATCAGTCCTTATGTTGTAAAACTTTTAACCTGTTTTGATTTTAACTGTGGCATGTGGATCAGCATGGGATTTTAATAGGTTTTAGTCAAACCACTGATGAGGAATCAAAGTGGTGGTTATGTTCCTTGATTAAGTGAGTGATTTTGAAAAGTTTCCTATCTTCTTTTCTTCAGTTAAAGAAAGGCACGACATATCCTGTCTGTGCTCTCAGGGATGAAAACATAATTTTTCACAGGCATTAATAAGAAGATTAAGTATTTACAAAATAAGCAAAGTATGTGAATAAGCCATTCACAGATGAAAACCCCCAAAGATAAAAGCATATGGATGATACTCAAATCCACTAGTGTTTTGAGAAATAAAAATTAAAAGAAAGTAGTATCCATTTTACATTACTAACTTGGAAAAATCAGAAAGCCAGAGAAACCCAGATTCTGCAGGGATGAGAAACCTCATGCACTGATGGTGGTTAAGTGATTAGGGAGAGTTGTGGCAGTGTCTGATCTAAGTATGTACATGTTGAACTTGAAATCCCACTTCTGAACATAATGTCACCAAAGTTCCATGAGCGAACATACAATGATGTTGATCACAACAATTTAATGGTAATGAGGTGTTAGAAGCACACCTGATACCTTTACCCTATTGAGAGCACATTGGTGAAATGTGGTAGATGCACACTATGTGATCCTATGTAGAGGGAAGATACAGGCTAGACATAGACTAATATGGGAAGGTGAGTAATGCTGAGTGAAATGCATTATGCATGAAGCATAGCTTTCTACTTTTTGTTACAGTTAAATTTGTACACAAAAAACAACACGTTTTAGAAGAACATAGATATAAAAAGATGATACATTAATATATTAGATGTGGGGGAAAGAAAAAGTTGGGATAAAGAAATAAATCAAATAGTTTGGACAGTTAAATAAAAGAAGCATGTTTGGCAGGGATAGGAAAAGGAGAGACAGTGAAATGAATCTGATATAATTTTTCTGTGTACATATATGAATATGCCATAGTGAATCTCACCAAAGTGTTATTCACACTTAATTTACTATTTACTAAAAGGGGTTTTAATTAAAAGAAGATATATTTCATGCTTGTATAATTATATCAAAAGGATTCTACTGCCATGTATAACTAAAAAGAACCAATAAAAATGTAAAAAAAGAAAGCATGATTAGAGTAATGAGATTCACAAGCCATATTTGAGCCATTATTTACAGATTGCCCATTCAGATGAAACTTGTTACCAACTATATACCTGCATACCTAAATGGATACTAGACTTGGGGAAAATGGGGTTATATGACAGCCCACTTGTTGTTTTCCAGAATCTGTTTACCACTTTCTTTAGAATAAGTCCTCCATCTCCTTCCTAATTATTATCTGGGATTAATCAAACTACTTTTCTTATTTTATTCAATCAAATAAAGGAAATAATTCAACCCATAATGGTCACATGACTTCAGTCTGACCAGTGGGGTGCAGAACTCCTACAAAGTGCATCTGAAGACAAGGGAGGAAGGTGTGTTTTAACATTTCTGTTTCTCCTAATTGCAGACTGACAAGACATTTTGATGGCAGGAACTCAGGCTTCTCAATGTCTGAGATGACTTTGGAAATGGAAGCAAACATGGTAAAGACCCTCCCCCCCCCAAAAAAATGAAGCAGAATTGAAAAGTAAATACTTACCCCAAGCAAAATTGGAAAATAGGAAACAAATTCCTGAGACCATGCAATGCCCTAATCACCTTCTCTCACCTATTTCTATACTTTTCATATAACTACGTCTTTTAGAAGATATTGTTAATTTGAATGTTCTGCCTTGTGCAATCAAGCTTAATGCTAAAACACTACAGAATCTTATCTGAACATCAAGAAAGGTAGATTGTGGTGGTTTGTGAAATGTTCACCTGCAGCTCTTTGTTTTTCTCCTTATAGTTACCTACATGGCCTACCTAATTTTTGCTAATGCAAAAGCATAATTTTGACCATCACACCACAGTTATATGTACATTAATTAATTTGCATCTCTTTATTTTTTAAGGCTGGCTAGAAATATGCATCCAGCCATACATTCCAAAATTTACATGAAGAGAAACATGTTAGAATTGAGAGTGAACTTCTGGAAAAAAATGTAGAGTAAACAATTTCAGAACTCTTTTAACCGAGTTAAATCCAAAGTAGAGAAAGTAACTCCATCTACATTGAATCTAGGAAAGAGCTGAAGCCTAAAACAAAAACCAAAGAAGATTTTAAAATTACAATAAGAGATGGAATACAATTTTTGCATGAATTTTCTATATCTTTTATTATGACAAGTGGAAAATTTTTTTTTCGGTTTAAAAGAATGTGTTTTGGTAACAGCTATGGGGGCCTTTGTTAGAGGACAACTATGAAGATTAAAGTGAGGTGTAAAAGATTTGTTGGTGGATCCCATTTACATGACTTTTGGCTTTGGAAATTAGGTGAGACCACAGGAATCTTTGCCCTCGATGGTATGCAGTGGTCTTGAAACAGGAGCCCACTTCATGCTTTGGGTATAAACCTCACTGTTCAACACCTGGCAGTTTATATTAAAACTATGTTTTTTCTTTCATCATCTCTCTCTTCTGTTCCCAGCCAAGGGACAAGAAGAATGACATTCTTACCACCTTTAACCAAGTAATCTTCCCTTCCACTTACTGCCCACAAGAATAAGGAAACTCTGGACCTGGAAACTGGAAAAACAACTTTTTCAAGGATATAAGTTAAATATTAATTAGGTTAACTGACAATAATACTCAGAAAACAGCTCCTGTGTCCCCCTTTTTAGTACTGTGCTCCCCCCCGCAGCAGAATATTAGTGTGATGAATGGCAGCCTTTGTGGGGTGACTCTGTTGCCTTTCTCTTTGCTGCAAAGCAATGATTTTGTGTTTTCCTTTTCCCCCAAACTATGTCTTCATTATAGAATCAGCATCAGGGACAAAAACGGAGTTTTGTTTCGATTTTGGCACCCCAAATAGTGCCTGAGAGAGACCCCAGCTCTCTCTTGGGCAAGTCTCGCTTTCTGATTGTGAGCCTCAGGTTGGACTGGAGGAGCTGCTTCCATAAGTGAGGTGGAGAGTCTGAGGGGATTTTGAAGAAGCTGCCAAGATTCCCTGTGTTTTGGAGATTTCCTTCTTTATTTTCCTGAATAGGTGCAGTGCACTCCTCCATCTGGTCTATTTAAGAAAAAGGAAACTGAATATACTAAAGTTGCAAGACCTTGGCCCATTGGTAAGCTCCCCTGGTGTGTATGCTTAGAATCTATTTCCACACATCTGGAATTCCTTTGTGAGGACATCTGAGTCCCCTTCATGAACATTTGGTCCCCCTTTGTGGGTATATCTGTGGCTCTGCTAATATAGGAAACATGATTATGGGGGATTTCCCCTCATCTTCTCTGTTCATCTTAAAGATTTCCAATCTATTGGACTTGTTATGAATATCCTTTCTGTGTTTGTGTGTGTGTGTGTGTGTGTGTGTGTGTGCATGTGTGTGTGTTTTATCAGGTAATTGCACTTTAAGACATGTGCAACACTCAGTCAGGTTCCAGTTCTAATCTCTTAGGAAAAATTTTAGCTCATTGAGGCCCATAAAGCTATAAATCTATGATTAAAAGGGAGCAAGTCAAATTATCCCTCTTGTAGGTCATATGATAATATGTGGAAAAATCTAAAGAGTCCATCAAAAGACTATGGGCACTGATAAATGAATTCATCAAAGTTGCAAGATACAAAGTCAATATGCAAAGATCACTAGCATTTTTTACATACTAATGACACACTGGCTGAGGAGGAAACCAGGAGAACAATTCTACTCACCATAAGTACTAAAAATATTCCTGAGAAGTACATTGAATCAAGGAAGCAAAAATATAGTGAAAATTACAAAACAATGACAGTAGATAGAGGACCCCCAAAATAGAAAGATCTCCCATGTTCATGAATTAGAAGACTTAGTTTTTTTAAATATCCATACTATTCAAAGCATAAACTCTAAGGAGGCTTAAATAAAAATACCACCTTTTACCCAAAATATTTTGAGTTGAAACAAGAACCTTATGGCTCATGTAATGAGATAACTGGCACCTTTTCAGCAGATAACCCGCTGCATAATGATTACGAACGCTGCATTTGCCAACCTGGCTTCTGGCCTATCTTTCTCTCATATTTCCTTTCTTAGCGTCTCCAGCTTTTCTTTCTCACTTAAAGTCCCCCTGCCCAAAATGTCCTCTCCCCATCCTTCTTCACTCTCCTCCCACTTTTTGTTATTTTTTTTTTTAATTTTTTTAAACCAGAGATTGAACTCAGCAGCACTTAACCATTGAGCCACATTCCCAGCCCTGTTTTGTTACATAGGGTCTCGCAGAGTCACTTAGGGCCTTGCTAAGTTGCTGTGGTTGGCTTTGAACTTGCCACCCTCCTGCCTCTGCCTCCTGAGGTGCTGGGATCACAGTGTGCACCACCACACCTGGCTGTTGGGCACTTTGTGATAGTGAGTAAACTAAAGTGGGTCCATGGGGAGAGATCCTTAGTAAATGGAGACCTCTCAAAAAATGACAAAGTTTACTCCATTCGTAAAAGCTAAACAGAAAATTCAATGTATGCTTGTAAGAGATGAGAAATATTATTAACTAGAATGTCACCCACCTAAGGATCCTTCACTATGTGTCCATGAGTAATCAATGAATGGCTAGACTAAGCTTGACCAAAGAGGAATATTCTGAGCTCCAAGCATGGGGTGGCCACCATGGGACGTGATCTCTGAGAGAGTTTGTAAAAATGTTTAAACATTTTCCAAATCAGCAAAATCTATCAACAACGGCTCACCTGTTAGAATTTCACACCCCCATTCTTAAAAATCATGTCTATAACATATATATACAAGATATCATGTGTGTGAGTGTGTGTGTGGTGTGATGTATATAAGATATATACAAAACTCTGGTATATGGCTCAGATCTACAAATATCTCTGGAAAAGTTCATGTTTGGAAAGTACGATCCCCAGTGCAGAAATGTTCAGTGGTGAAATGACTGGATTCTGAGAGTGGCAACCTCACTTTGATGGACTAATAATTAAAATGGATCACTGTAGGCAGGTGGGGCATAGCTGGAGGAAGCAGGTCACTGGGGTGTGGCTTTGGGGATTATATCTTGTCTCTCTCCTCTTCCTGGCTGCCATAGTTGAGCAGAGTTCCTCCTGTATGGCCTCGGCCATGATGTTCTGCCTCACCTCAGGCCAAGAGCAAAGAAGTCACTGACCATGGGCAGAACCATGAGTCCCAAATATGGGTTGTTCTGGTCAGGTATCTTGGTCACAGCAATAAAGAGCTGACTAATACCTGGACATGTCTCTTGTTCTCTCTTCTCTGAGAGGTAAGGTGCACTCACACTCCCTTTGAGTGAGAATTTCTTTACTGTTAAAAAAATTTTAAATAAATTTTTACCTGTGCCTTGCTTACTGGTGCATGCACAATTCTTTCTGCAGCAAGAAATGTCAAGAGCCTGTACGGTTCCAAGATGAAGGCCCCCTCTCTTAGGACCTCCTTGGACCCCCTCTGGTGACAATAACAGCTCTAAGAAACTACTATGTCTCTTTTTCCATTGGGCGAGTGTTTCCGCTGGTCACGCCCATGGGTGGGTACTAACTGCACCATGCACAGGGCGTCTGAGTGTCCCAACAGCAGCTCAGGAAGCCTGACCCCTACCTGCCACAAAAGCCAAGAGCCCATCCGACTCAGGATCAATGAGCAAGAGGAAGGAAGAAGTCCAAAGTTCCAGAACTTCTGCCCAAGATTTGATTCACACCCCCTCTCTGGTGACAGTGGTCACCTGGCAAGGATCAGGTGGTTCCCAGAAGTGGGCCTAAGGGAGCAGGCTTTGATGGTGACCGTGCCAGAGCAGGATGAGAGAATTCTGCGTAACCAGCCTCACAGAAGGAAACCCGAAGGGGTAAAGTGACAGGAAAGCTTGCTGGGCTCCCTCCCACGGAACCCCACCAGCCCACTGTCCTTTCATGGATGCTGCTGCCCATCAGCCCAGGAACCACTTCCCCAAGGACTTTCCTTGGTCCAAACTGGTGCTTCCTCTTGCCACACCCAGATTGGCTGCATGTCAAGGAGCCAAAATCAATGAGATCCTTCATTTGTTGGGGGCTGAGATCAAAATTGTGAACCCAGTGGAAGGATCTACTGATCCTTCCCTGGATCTGCTGCCAGCATTAGCCTGGCTCAGTATCTAATCAAAGTCAGGATTTCCTTGGAGACTGGTGGCATGGGGAGACGCTAGAGCAATGCAGATTCATCTATTATCCCTTTCTGCTGTTCACCACCACCCATGATCCATCTGTGTAGTTTCTGAATAGTCAGCGATTCCAGGTTTTACATAGTTTGTAAATTTTCAGTTTCTACACACTATCGTCCACTCATGATTTTTT